CCCTTAAAACTCGCACACTTCACACCTACCACCTAATATCTACAGCTAGTCTATTTTACAACCACTTACAATTATGAATGGGGTATTGCGACGGGCGCATTACATATTACCCCCCTATTAAATGAACGTGGCTATCAAGTTCATTTAATATGCTTTTAGTAAGGCGCCTACAACTGATCTACTGGAGGTTTAATTTTTTTAAAATTAATACCATCCAACAAAATCCCAGATACTCGATCAATTATTTCGTAGGAGTTAGCTCCCTGTTAAGATTTAATTAGATATGGTCCTTCAAAGAGCAAGAAGAATTTCTTAATTTCCCAGTTTTCAGCAGAGGAAAGACTATGACACCGCAACATGACCAGTTCTCCCGGCTGAAAAATGACAAACTCCTTGTTATTATTATAGCGCATTTGCCTTTTTAAAGCTTTGGAGTTTAAATTTTCACGGGCAAGAACGATGATACGTGCCTGGTCCCTACGTATAGGTATGTCAGGATAGTTTATGTATTGTTGAAATTTACTTTCCCGGCCTTTTCCAAAATGAATTTCGCTCGGCATAAATCCCATACTTTCATAAATTGCCCCGTTTAAATATTTCTCAATATCTTTGAGTAAAATCGACCATTTGGTATGTTGCGAATGACAGAACGTTCGAATCAATCGACCAACTTCCCGGTTGACTCTTTCTCTCATGTTCCCTTGTGGATAATACGCTGACGTATGGCGAATATTAATATCTCATTCTTAAAGAGTATTTGTCCAGTAATGACTCCGAAATTGAGTCCCAATAACGAATCAATAACCACCAGCAACTGAGACACTCCTCCCCTGGACATGGGCAATGGTCCCATGGGGTCTAAACAAGCTAATTGATTAGGAACCTCTACTAACACAGAATGCGTTTTTGTTGTAGATCGTGGTGAAACTTTTGCCTTCTGGCAAATCTGGCAACCTCCTACGATTCTACGAATCTTCCGAAAGTAATAATGTCTGCGTAGCCATAAACAATATTTATTTCCACCGAAGTGACCATTATCAAAGTACTCCTGGTTAACTACCGCGATTATCATTGATTTGGATAATACAATTTTGTATCCCTGGCATTCCACTGACCCTTTCCAGAATACATTGTTTTGATATAAAACATACCATTTCTTAAAGTTAGGCAACTCATTAGCTGATTCTAACTCAGTTTTGATTTTTGAACAAAATTCATCGGCATTTTGAAGACTAGAAATTTTCTTAAATTGATTCCGAATGCTGCGGACGTCAATTGCTATAGAATTTAGTTCTACATCGGACAGTTCTGGGACCACAGCATTAGATTGTAATAACTGACACGGATACCTCGACAAAGTGTCAGCCACCACGTTTTCACTGCCTTTGCAATGTTCGATTTGGAAATCAAATTCCTGTAAGTATAAAATCCATCGAGTAAGTCGCCCATTTAATAACCTGCAATTATTGATAAATGATAAAGCTTTATGATCATTTACGATCGTAAGTGGTCTACCGATCACAAAAACTCTCCATTGGCAGTAGATATCGGTTATAATACGCAATTACATTTCTATCGCCCGTTTCGCTTTCCTTTTGAAAAAGACATGCTCCCACTGCGAAATCCGACGAATCTGCTTGTATAAGAAATCTATGCTTCGGATCCAGATGCGTAAGTACTGGTATTTTTAGAAAAGCATTCTTTATATTTTGGAAAGCTAATTGCTCTTCGACCCCCCCCCACTTCTACGGTTGTCCTTTTTTAAAAGGCGTGTAAAAGGTAACGTTAACTCGGAAAATCGCTTACAGAAACGACTGTCATATTTGGCAAGTCCTAAGAACGACCGAAGTTGTTTTAAACTCTTTGGAGATGGAAGAGATTGTATAGCTCTCACTCGCTCAGGATCCATTTCAATCCCAACCGATGTTATTATATGGCCCAAAAATTTTATAGATTGACAGGTAAATCATGATTTTTTAATTTCACCGTAATGTTCCTAATGAACCTCTCGAGAATAATTCTTAAATGTTCTAAATGAACATCTGGACTTTCCGAATGTATAACTATGTCATCTACGTAAGGTACGACGAATTTATCAACATCTGGCCCTAAAATTTTACTAAATCCGACAATGAAGCTGTCTACCGACGTCGCGAATCCAAACGGAACAACTTTAAACACATACGTCTTGCCTTCAAACGCAAAACCGGCATACTTCTGATGAGCTGCTTTAATTGGGATTTGCCAGTAACTAGCAGTCAAGTCCATGACACTCAATACCTGATTGCTAGTGAATTCATGTAATAATTCGTTCGTATTAGGTGGATTTACATGATCTTTTACCATGCGGTTGTTTAAGTATCGCGCATCAATACATACGCGAACCGATTTTTCTTTCTTCGCGACCACGACCAATGGACTAACATATTCAGTGCTGCGCTCTTCTATTATACCCCACTGTTTCATTTCATTTATCTGTCGCTTAACCTTTTCACGATAAACCAACGGTGCCGGTTAAGATTTGATATGAAATGGTGTATAGTCATGTAATATGATCTCGTGTGTGTAAATATCGGTTCTACCAGGTCTATTTGAAAACACATGTTATTGATATTGTTTAAGTAAATCCCCTAGTTTCCCTTTATAAATGCCATTGAAACATTCGGCACACGGCGCGACCTCTAATATTTGCTTCTGCGAATAAATGTCTGTTATCTGATTTTGGAACCTACCTTCCTCAGCACTTAACTCACTAATTATCACCGATGTTAATAGAGCTGGTTCTGCTATAAATTTAATTGTTTCGGTGTCACCTTAAAAACATCCTGAAACCTCTTGGGTTTTGAAATTTATGTTGACTGAAAAATCCTGCATCCAGTCACATCCGAGTATTATACCGCGTATTAATTTCGGTACAATAATATACGTGTAATCAAATCACATTTATTGTGAATTGCAGATACACTTGCTCTCGTACCTTTTGGTTTTTGCCGCCTAACGCTCCGATCAGTGTTGAACACGATGCCGGCAATATAGGTAAATGCACGTTAATTTGTTTTAATTTCGTGAAATGTAAGTTAGTTGACTACCCGAATCTACAAGCGCTTTAACTGCAACTGATTCCACCTTGATTTCAATAGTTGGTGCAAGAGCCAACTGTTTTACATCGTGCGACTCTTCCTCTAAAAGACCCTCATAATTTATCGAGAATTACTGGTACTGCGGCTTGGTCGTCTTGTCTATCACTTTGACTTCGGCTAGACTCCTCTCTAACCTGACCTAACTCTCCTTGACGCGGTTGTCTCTCTGAATTTACCGTATTCCGATTATTATAATTATAACGCCAAGTGCGGTCCGGATTGCGATCTGATCTATTATCCTGCGTAGCGCCATTAATCCTAGTAACTTCGCTCAACGATAATTCATCTACCTCGCGAAGGTATGCCTCGACTTCATCCGCTCTGACTAGCCCAGCGCAGATAACGCCCCTTCCTAATTTCGGTACTAAAATGAGACACGACAATTTTTACAATTTCTGTCTCTGAAATTTGCATAGAAAAGTATTTTGATGTAGCTATCATTTTTAAAAAATAATCCGCTTTTGAACCGCCCTGATACGTATCAAACTTAATTTTGTGGTAAAGTTCGCGTTCCTGTGAAGTTCCCCAGTAACGATCTAAAATTTTTCTCTCGATAACCTCAAAGGACAGGAAAGTATCCTCCTTCATTTGAGCCCAATTTTGAGATGAACCTTTTAATGCATTTATTGCTAAGTTTACCCTTTTACCGGTATTTCCGCGTCTTCAAACATAACTTTTATTTTTTTTTATAAACGTCACTGGATTAACCGTAAACCACCCGGTAAAAAACTAATATTGTTGCCCCCAAGTCCTTCCATGTTGAAATATAAACCCTATCCCTCTTTCCCTACACACTCTGTGGAATTAGTTGAGAGGCACCTGGTATATTTTGTCTACAATCTTTATCAGAATTGTTTACATTATTGCTGGTATTAATAGTAGTAGCGCTTTCAGGTAACATCCCTCTACTTAACTTATTGTCAATTTTTTTCATTAATTATTGTTTAAAATGGCAATATCAGATAAAGTTTCATCTATCACTTCATCAAAGTCCTGTACAGACTGCTTATCTTTATTTTTGTTCATATCCATTGCGGTATACTTATTATTTAGTTAAATTTGAAAAATATTTGCTCAATGCTAAATATTAATTCTTAACGAAACAGCTGTACCACCTATCAGTTTCTCCTGGCCACGACAATAAATAAAAGTTAAACAAAGAAACTTTTATCGTGCCTCGAGTTGGGCGCCAATTGTACTTCCCTAAATCTATGGGTTTAGGTTTACAGTAATTAAGAAAGTCGGTGGGGTACAGGAAGAACTGATACGTAGTAGATTATAACAATATTTATTACTCTATGTCTATACCAATGACAATTGACATTAATAGCCTGACGGTTTACAAACGATTTCTAAATTTACGAACTATGTGATGGCGCTCAGTGTCTCCAAACAAGAATGTGAAAATTCACGGATAGACATATAAAAGCAGATATCTGACCTTAGATCCTTCAATTTAGTCCTGCAGGTAGTTATTTAAGATATGGGCGGGCTGGTGACAAGGGGAATACGGCCAACTCTATAGTGACTACTTTTTCTGCTTTCCTAGATGATCTGGAATGTCAGTAACCTCTTGGAGTAGTAATTTAATGTAACACAGAAGCTGATTCTTCAAGACTCCCGATTTCCTTTTTCACCTGTCAATCTCTTGACTTTTCTCCTTATGTCCCAACACACCCGATTGCTATTCCTCGTTTTTCCGCCGACCTCGTACTCTCGCACTATTCCCTTAAACTCGCGCACTTCATACCCATCACCTAATATCTACAGCTAGTCTATTTTACAACTACTTTCAACTATGAATGGGGTATTGCGACGGCCGCATTACAATGCACATATTTCAAAACCATTATGTTTTACCTGTAATATGACAGACGCCTTTCGTTTGAAAAGTAGCATTGCCGTTTCTTTATTGGGATACTCCTTAAATTGTCAGCGGCTTCTCTAACAGATGGTGTAATCGAAAATCTCACTTCCATCCCTGGACTTAAAAGAGATCCGAAATCTGCCATTTTGGGAGTTTCAATGGGATTGGAAAGAATGATCTATAAATATTAAACAAGTTTTGGATAGGCTATTAATATGTTAGTACCATGTTACCTTAAATCCTATACTACTTGTAGACGAACAATAATAGTTATCGACTTGAGCATCCAGAATAAGGGACAAACCCAAATGAGATCCTGCACCTAAACGCAATACAGCATTAATTTTTCTAATTCCTTATTTTTTTAAATTACTATTAAAGCGTATTATTATTTTATTTATTTATTCCTTCAAAAATTTGTTTTTAGAAGTTTTACAGGAAGAGTTCTCTAACAAACGGAAAGGCAAAATCTTATGTCAAAGTAACAATACAATTTTAGGGTACGATTAAAGGGTACATATTATAATCAGGAGGAATAAAAAATGATGACAGATGATTGCCCTTTGTCCTGATATTTACTAGTTCAAACGACTTCAGAAAATCGTAATGCTCGTTGAGGTTAACAAAGGCCTTTTTTTAAATTGATTTGTCATCTATTGGAATCTGATGGTAACCTGAGGCCAAGGCAACTACTTTTTCAATTTAGTTTATGAAATCATCGATTCTCGGTAGTGGAAATTATTTTTTTTAGGTCTTATGATAAAGAGCGTGATAATCTAGGCATGAGCGGGACTCGCTAGTTTCCTCTTTATTAAAGAATAATGTTCAGGTACGAGAGCTTGAATCGCGGACACTACAATTAGCCAAGAGTGGTAAGTGGTAGCAAACTGTCGTTTAAAAAAGAAAAAGACAATTTAAGAAATAGAAATAATAATATATTTTTTTAATAACTCCCAGTACACCCAAGCTACAGAAAAATAAAATTGTATATCATGTATTAAAAAACTTTTTGAATGTGAACAAAATTAAAAATATGCATAAGAACTTGTGAGGACTGTATGTGCAAAGTATATCGATATGAGAATAAATCATGAAGTTAAAATATTTAATTCAATGAAATCTACTAAAAGACTGATAACTTTTACACGTTTATCAGAGTTAAACTTTGATTATAACAATATTTGTTCATTAAATTAATACAATCTCCTATTAACGTTTTTATTAATTGACAGTAATATTTACATCAAAAAAAGGAACAATAATAGCGTAACGTAGTAACGGTCAAGTGACACAGATGGCATAGAAGTGCAAATTTGATTTATTCACTTAACAAAGACAAATATTAAATAAACTAACATTACTTAAAGAAGAATAAATATGTATATTTAAATTATTTTGTAGGTTGGTTTATATAAGCAAGACATTAAAATATATTATTTTCTGAATTCCAAACTTAAAAAATGAATATTTGACGTAAGTCTAAAAATATTTCTTAATCCGGACCTGTTCAAAGTATGCGCGGTCGGATTACCTCGTACACTCTACCTCCCCGCAATTTGGCGTCACCGGTTCCCATGATTTGGGATGGGAAACGTACACTCTAGGTGCTCTGTGGGCGAAATTGACCATATTACAGGAGTAGGAAATAACTAGTTTGCGGGTTGTCTGCTTTACATACTTTACATACCTTACGTACATTACATGACAGCATACATAATATTACATAACAATACGAGTATATAGTAAACATCTGGAATCATACATCGTTTGAACTCACCAGACAGATCAGTCACAGGTGAAACTACCTATGAATGATCCAGCTATTTTTTATGTTTTAGCTACAGACATGAAGTGAGTGTATTTTAATTTAATTTAATTTAATTTAATTTAATTTTTAAATTTAATTCAATTTAATTTAATTCACCCAACGGGAGAAACCCAATTACAGGATGAATATTACAGCTACAATAAATACACATTAACACAAGAAACATAAACATTTAAAATAAGTATAAATAAAAATTACAAAAAGTACAAACCTTAATCAGAAACAATGGTCAGTCAATCAATAAAAAAAATAGCAAAACGGTAAAGTCACATGGGAATTAATATATCTAAAATCATTACCAACAACAGAAACAACAACATAAGTAGGTAATATAAAAAACTAACAAGAAATTAAAAATCCTATAACTCAATTGTGAGAATAGAAAATTCTTTTAATATGTGCTAAAGAAGTATTGAAAATGTCCAGGCTATTCTCCATATTATGATAATTAAAAAGCATTTGATGTAAAGGAGACCACCGCAACATGTTAGTGCGCGAAGAAGGAAGATTAAACAAACTATTTGATCTGGCATTTATTCTAGGAACACGGTCATTTATTTGTGTTGTAAGCTCAATGCAATCAATATCGTGGTTGACAATTTTGTACAAGAACATTATCGAGTACATAACCCTCCTCTTAATTAAGCTATGCATTTCAAACCTATCCAATAACAACTCCTGAGGATATCCCAGAGCTGGATAGACTCCATCTAAGATAAAACTGGCCGATTTAAGAAACCTCTGCACTTTTTCTAATGATGTTATGTAACTATTATAATAGGGAGACCAAACCACAGAGGCATACTCCAACTTGGGTCTAACAAAGCACGTATATAAGGTACGTAATGTAGACATATTCTTAAAGTCCTTACCATTTCGGAGAATAAAACCCAAATTTTTGTAAGCACCTGTGACAGATTCAGCAATATGTGCAGAGAAGGTTAATTTTGGGTCAAAGATGACCCCTAAGTCTTTAATATGCTCAGGTCTAACCAGTACCTGATCACGTAGGCTGTAATTAAATAGAGTAGAATTAGTTTTACGGGAGAAAGACATTACATTGCACTTCGAAGCGTTTAAGGGGAGCCGATTATTATCACACCAAATGGTAAGCAAATTCAAGTTGTGCTGAAGCCTATTACAATCAGATACAGAGTTGACATTAATATAAATTTTCAAATCGTCAGCATACATTAAAAAATTTACGCTAAAGTTTCGCGCTATATCATTGATAAAAATAATAAAAAATAGTGGTCTTAGTACTGACCCTTGAGGAACGCCTGATGTTTGACTAAATATGTTTGATTTGTAACCACGATATTGCACAAACTGAACACGATGTGATAAATAAGATTTAAACATAAGTAAAAGAGAATTATTGATACCAAAATTGTGTAATTTACGAAGCAATATACCATGATCTAATTTGTCGAAGGCTTTAGTGAAATCTGTATATATAACGTCCACCTGACCTCTCATATCCAAAGTCTCGGCAATAAATTGAGTAGCACACACAAGATTGGACACTGTTGATCTACCAGGCATGAAGCCATGCTGCTCAGGAACAATTAGGTTTTTAGCATAAAAAGAAATGTGTTCGCGAATAATAATTTCAAATAATTTAGAAAAGTTGCATAAAATAGCAATAGGTCTGTAGTTTTCAACATCCTCCTTGTTACCCTTTTTATAAACCGGACACACACGAGACTGTTTCCATAAATCAGGGAAGGTGTTAGATCTAAGGATTTGATTAAAGATCGTACATAACGGTTTGGAAAATAAGCAAGCATAATCCTTGATAATAAAGGCCGGCAAGTTGTCTGGACCCATTGTCATATTTGCTTTCAGTTTCTTTATAGAATTTAAAATTTTATCTTCAGTAATTTCAGGAATATGTAGGATGTCATTATCGTTTACATAGTATTGTGAATTTAAATCAAAATTGGTGGAATCAATAAAGGAGTTAGAAAAGTAACTAGCAAAGGCGTTGACTATGTCTTGGGGATTATCGCAATTAGACCCATTATATGACATTGAGGACGATATACCAGTAGAACCCTTTTTTGAGTTTACAAAGTTCCAGAAGAAGTTTTAGAATGGCTCATAATTGTATTTTCGGACTCTAGTATATAATTTGTATAAGCAATCTTGATGGCAGATTTTATCTGGGAACGAATATTTTTAAAGTTAATATAATCATTAAGTTGTTTAGATTTTTTATATGAACTCCAAGCATGGTTTTTATTCTTCAAGAGAGTTAACAATTGACTATTAAACCAGGGCGGATAAATTTTACTCGTAGGTCTTTTTAAGGGAACATATTCATGGAGGGCATCATTTATTTTGTTATAAAACTGTTGAATTATATCATTTACCGACAAGTCAGTAGAAAGCGACCAATCAGTAATGCTAAGTTCATTATATAAACCAAGAAAATCTGTGTGTTTAAAGTTGAATGAATGATTGTTTTGCACTGGAAAAATATTGGAATGTTTGCTGTATATATTAACGCTTACATTTAGAGCAGGATGATGAGGATCAGCAGATAGTAAAGGCTGAGAAGATCGGAGTACTCTACAGTAAACATTTGCAATGACAAGATCCAGAATTCTGCTATTAACATTAAAAATTTGATTATATTGTTCAAGTTCAAAAAAACTTATGAGTTGTCGCAGAGCGATGGTACAACGAAAGGAAACTCCAAGAACATATTCCGGTATATTAAAATCACCGAAAATAACAATCTTGGAGCCATATATATCATATAAGGATATAATACAATCGAACAGGCGTTCGTAAGCTTCACATAGCGTATTTGGCGGGATGTATACTGTAATAATATAAACAAAGTAATTAGAAGTTTTTATTTTTGCAGCCACTACATCTATACTGGGGATGTCATTGAGAGCAGGACAAATTAATTTAATGTCATATAGACAAGCATTTAATTTTCTATTGATAGTTAGTAGCACCCCACCTCCTCTAACCTTATCAACTGCATCAAAGTTTCTATCGGCGCGAAATACATTGAAAATATTTAAGTCAAATAACTCAGCGTCATGTATACCTGAATGAGCCCATGTCTCACATAGAGAGATACAATCGAACTGATCAATAAACGAATTTACAAACAATTCTTTAGTTTTTGTACCTAGACCACGCACGTTCTGATAATAACACGACAAGAAACGTGAATTAGAACTTTCTTCTACATTCGTTTGTTTGGAATTTAAGTGATAATCATGGGCGTCCAACAATGGGGGTAATTGCTATTGTAAACCTAATACATTATTTTTTAATTTTAACAGATTTTGTTGATAAACAAAGCAGGTTTTATCCCAAGCAGCATGCTTGACATCAACTGCTGATTGTTTGTTACTTTTATTAAAATTTACACAGTTTACACAACAAAGCTGCTCAGAGTTACACTGAGAAACCGGATGGTTAAGCGAACAGCGAGGACATATATCTGATTGAACAGTACAAGTTTTATGGATGTGGTTAAATCCATTACATTTGAAACAACGCCTTACGTCAAGGGCATCAAACACATTGCAATAGTCATATCCGATAAATAATTTACCCTGCTCAAGAATATTATGATAAGTTAATTTATCTGTCTGGAGAACAGCCTGAAATATTTTACTATGTTTCTTTAGTTTGGTTATAGACACAATTTTACAGGTAGAATTAGAGTTTATGACATTCTTATTTTGCTGCAACAAAAAGTCTAAAACTGTCTTATCATCAAGTTCCTCAGTAATACCAACGATTCTAATTCGAGGATGTAAAACAGTTAATTCTTCTACTTCATACTTATCTGAAAGTTTCAAAGATGTTAATTCTTTGAACTTGGTCGAGTCACCAACAGTTTCACAACTAACCAATAATCGTCCATCCTTGGAATTCTTCACTCTACTTAAATTAATGTTGGAACTGATTGGGTTTATGTTCTTCAGCATATCAGCCTTCGTAAGAGATACCGACTGTTTAGTACGAGGTTTAATAGCAAAGGTTGGAACAGATTCACCAGCAGCTGCGGCGTAGGATTTTTTTGGCACTTGGTTGATAGAAGAAGAAATATCATCAATCTTCGGCTTCAGTTCGTCTAACTTAGGTGTAACAAGTACGTCAACGTTGTGTTGAATCGCAGTATGAATTTCATGCTTTAGCTGAGCGGCAAAATCCAATTTCAAACTGTCAATAGCAGACATAACGTTAGTAATCACTGCATCAATTTTTTCCTGAACATGTTTGTTCAACTTAGAGATTGCAGCATTAATTGTATTGAGGTTATCAGAGTATGTAAAAACTGATGTCTTCACCACAATATCGCATTTGTTTTTGCATTCAGGACAAAGATAAAACAGACACTTGCTCTTGGTAAGCATGACGAATTCAGTGTTGGTAAGACCCACACATGAGTAATGAAACCATCGATTACAGCAACCTTCACAACCAACAAACCCTTCGCTTCGATCTCGGGAGCACTTAGCACAAGATTATTATTATTAACATCAGTTGTCGAAATTAGTCAAGTCCAAAATTTTATCAACTATTGCTTTCAGAAATCTCTGATCTTATATCTCCAACGTTGCAGAGTACCACATCTATAAACGGCCATAGATGGGATACTGTTGAGGACTGGGTATATGTCTGGTGCGTTCGTCCAACGAATGATATTAGCTGTTTTAGATTGCTTGTAGATTATTAAATACGGAGTGGCTTCCCTCGATTTCGTCAGATAACGATGTGGTCGTCATGCGCCCGCCGATCATCAACATTTTGAGAGATCCGTGACTCAATAGGTGCATAGTGCTAGCTGACATTTTACCACGATTTGGTCTTGACTTACCGTACAAGGATGCCTCAATAGCGTTCACATGTGCATACACGAATTTGGAATATACCATTTACTCGTAAACCTTACAATTACATAAGAAATAAATATACATTATTACGATTAAACATAATACTATTAAGTTGGAAAACATGTAATTTAAGAAAGGTACTTTTGTGTAGAGTAATAACGTCACATTCCAAAAACCGTTCTAATTTATGATATAACAAGTCATAAGCACAGAAATTATGTTAACTTATTTTCCATACACTTATTTATTTTAATATTGCTAAAGTAAGTAGGTACCTAACGGTCTCTTTGGTACAGTATTTTCGTCTCCAGTCTCTTCTTCCGTAAATCCTTTTTCTGGATTCCAGTCGTACACATTACTTGGATATGTTTGATTAAGTATAGAAATATCATTTCTGAAAAATAAAAATGTAATTAAAATTGATAATTTACAAAGTTGGCCATGAATTATAAGTCTAAATAATACTAATTAGAAAGTAATTTTACCAATTGTGAAATAATACGTAAAGTTTACATTTTTTAAGACTTTATTGTAAACTTAGGGCTAATGTTGTTTCTACCATCGGCGGCTCGTGGCTCGAAAAACACTTTCTAAAGGAGTGTTTTGATGTTGTGATTAAAACACAAGAATTTTGACTTCAGATTCGGATTCAGTGGGTACTGTAGAATATACCCTAATCACGGCCCAACCCACTTTTATATTTTGGGGCGCTGTGTTATTTTTTTATTTATTAAAAATTTAAACTGAATAAAATGTACGATAAAAACTTACTCATTTCGAAAAATTTTTTTTGGTGGTAATCTGTTGAAGGAACAGCAGAGTCCTTCATCGGTTAAATCATTATTAAATAGTTCATCACAATCAACTTTATCATTGGTCCACTCACAAACTCTTAGAACATCAGAACAGGAGGCTCCAACCTAAAAATTGGCATTCAGTCATAATGTCCTTAATTTTAACCACGTGTTCGGAAGGCCTAATAAAGACAGAAAATCGAAAACAAATTTTTACTCAACCTTTTAGAAGATAAGCAAATTATTCAAATCTACCACCGTTAATAATTGCATCTTACGCATTTTTTTCCCGCAAATTTGGAGATCACGTCATACATATGGGGAGAGGATATGTGGAAAGAATAATGCAGAATGCTATGCAACCATTAGTTTATTTCGGATTGTTTCGTGTGTTGATCATAATGGCTGTATTTCTGAATTTTGAATATGCGAAAATGCTAGTTTTATACGGAGAATGTTTACGAAATGCCGCTGCAGCAGAATATCGGAGGAGTTTCCCTCACAGACAACATTTTCCATGTCCGCAACTCTTCGTGTGAGTTTTTCCACGTCTTCACGATACCGGGTCTTTAATAAGGTCCGACATCGACAAAATTACTTGAATGTGGTAGAAGCTGTTTAAATTTAGTTGGGGAGCAACCTACTGTTTCGACAAGAACCATTTTAAAGCGGTTGGAGATAACCCTAAGCAAGGTCTGGAGAATATTACCAAAAAACTCACTTAACCCTTATCATTTTCAAAAAGTTCAAGCTTTAGAACCAACTGATTTCCCCAGTCGTTTTGAATTTTGCAATTGGTTTCACAATCAATTTGCAGCGGATCCCAACTTTATTAACAAAGAAGGTAGGTATCATAGTACTCTTTGAAAAGCAATAAGTCATTATGTATACCTACGTACTACAAACTGAATAATTAATTGAACATAATTACTAAAAACTCATATTCAGTTATAAAACATAGTGAACACGTTAACAATATTAAAAATACTACATTGTAATAACAATTATTATCCGTATATTTTTGTTTCTATTAAAATAAATAATACTTAATATATATGTTAATATTTAAAATGTAAAAAAATATCTTATTCATTCATATGTCTAGAAAAAAAGATCTGTTTACTCCTTGTCGTTCACCGCGTATTAAAATTGCAGTAAAAATTAGGTTAGTGACCTCATAATACGGTAGGTCAAGATACACTCTCGATAAACCTTTGTGGGATCAGACGCTCACCGGCTTGTTTATCATTGAATGTGTTTCGGATTTTTTTTTTGTCCACACGAAGGTTTTTTGTATTATTTACAATCGGTATTTAAATACGGAAAACTTTTCAGCCTCTGTTAATAATTTTCCTAATGAGTAGGTATTGGTTTTTCTACTTCACGATTTATGTTGTGAAATGTAAATTGTTTATTTATTTATAATTGTTTACAGGATGGCCAAATGAAAACGAAACAGAGCCATTTCAGGAACTGCGTCAAGATTGTAGAAAAACGCTCAGACCCGTCGATTTTAGATTAAAGGGGGACATTCTTTGCTGGTATTTTTGAATCCGCCACTATCACTCCCAAGCAAGGGTAAGCATCAGCCCAAAATATTTAAATGGCATTGGGGGTTGAGGAATATTTCTTTTGAAAGCCCTTACAATTCTCTTTACAACAGATTTTAAATTTTATAATTCCGCCCAATACTTTGAAAAAAAAATTACATTTTAAAATTTAAATTATGTTTAGTTGCTTACTTACTACTTAGTTGATTAAATGTTCAAACTGATGACCGCCCGCTTCCATACAAGAATAAAGATTTTGTTCGAAACGTTCGCGCACATTCCGAAGCATTTCCGGAGTGATTCGACGGCATTCGTCGACGATTCTTTGACGCAAATCTTCCAGCGACGCTGGCTGTGTTTTATAGATTTTACTTTTTAGGTATCCCCACAAAAAGAAATCAAGGGGCGATAAATCCGGTGATCGTGGAGGCCACTCAATGCTGCCTCTTCTCCCAATCCAATTCCGTAGAAAACGTTGGTCCAAATACTGACGGACAATTAACGCATAATGCGGAGGAGCACCGTCCTGTTGAAAAATCAAATGATCTTCATCATACTCTGGAACATTTTCAATAATATCAGTCAAGGCAGGGTCAATAGCGTCTTCCAGTAATTGCAAATACATTTGGCCAGTCAAATTACCAGGTAGAAAAAAAGGACCCACCAGCCGGTCACCGAAAATTCCAGCCCATACATTTAATTTTTCCGGTTGCTGTGTATGCACCTCGTGAAAAACTCTTGGGTTTGAATCGGACCAATAGCGGCAATTGTGACGATTTACCGTCCCGTTCAAGAAAAAACTGCATTCATCAGAAAAACAGATGTTAAAAAGGAACTGTGGATCGTTCCCTGCTCGCTCACTCATTATTTCGCAAAATTGCAAACGGCGGTCATAATCATCCTCATGAAGTTCCTGGACTAAATGTATTTTGTATGGATGGAATTTATTCTTCTTCAAAATGGTTTGTATGCTAGTTCGATTGATCCCAGACACAGATGCCAGCTGCCTCGTACTTAATGTAGGATCAAGATGAACTTGTCCCAAAACTGCAACTTCACTAGCTTCATTAACTATAGGTTTTTCAATTTCTCGTTTTTTATTGGCTACGTTCCCTGTCTCTTGAAATTTTTTTACTAACTCTAGAACATACTTCCTCCTGACATGTCGATCTTGATGTTGTTCATTAAATAGCTGAGCTGTTCTATTCGCACATTTATTGTTCATAAAGTAAAGCGAAATGATATCTACCCTTTCCGCAATGGAATAAACCATAGTGTTTAATTTTTAAAAACACAATTAAATAAACTACCAACCAACGCTTCCAAATAATACTAGAAAATAATTTGGAATCCACTAATTTTACGTTCATTGTGTGTGTATAGCATTCATTTATGTTTTTACAATTGTGTTTTTTTTTACGAAAATGATAAATTGCCAAAAACTAATGTAACGCAAGAAATATTAAATTTATACCATTGGCGTACTTAACTCGAATGACTGACATTTTTACCGTTACTAATTGTTTGTACATAAGTTTCAACTTTAAAATCAAAATTCTTAATAAGTATTGAGCGGAATTATAAAATTTAAAGTCTGTTGTAAAGAGAATTGTAAGAGCTTTCAAAAGAAATATTACTCAACCCCCAATGCCATTTAAATATTTTGGGGTGATGCTTACCCTTGCTTGCGGGTGAAAGTGGCGGAGTCAAAAATACCAGCAAAGAATGTCCCTCTTTAATCTAAAATCGACGGGTCTGAGCGTTTTTCTACAATCTTGACGCAGTTCCTGCAAATGGCTCTGTTTCGTTTTCATTTGGCCACCCTGTATATTGGCAGCAGTGTACGGAGATCGTTTAATTAGAGCGCAATTTCTACGGGAACATCTGAACGGACTACGTTATTCTCGGTTTTTATTGGAATTATTTGAAAATCTTCCCCTTTAGATGCTACGTGATATGTGGTACATGCACGACAGTGTTTCTACCCATTTTGCTCGCGATCTATGTGGATTTTTAGAGAGAAATGCCCACATCGATACGGAGAGGAGGGCTCGTAAGATGGCCTGCGCGATCGCTGGACTTAAATCCTATGGACTTTTTGTGTACAACATCGAGGTAGAAAATGTACAGCAGTTGCGTCAATGTATCGAAAATGCCGTTGAACAAATAGTCCTGGTTTATGCGATTGTATCCGCCGCTCATTTATCCAACGTGTAAACTTGTGCATAGAAATTAATGGTAACGTATTTGAACATTTGCTTTAATCCCGAATCTTAGAAATAGTGACGACTGGTGAAATTTCAGGTATGCTATATCTTAATAACTAGATATGGGAACCAAATAAAACATTAGAGTATACCTATGTACTGTGTTCATACTTTTGTAAAAGAAGAGTGATTTTGCAATTTGTGAAAAAAAGTTATGTGGTTCACATAAGAATGTTCATATTGTCTTCTTTAGTTTTTGTCCACGATAGGATTTCACGTTTTCCGTCCGCACGATTTCGTTCGAACCAGCTATCCATCCAACGATCCATCCAGGATTAAGAACTCCGTAAGCCCTTTTACGAAGACGGAAAAGTTTTCACAATTATTTCCAATTTTTCCGTCTTTGGGCCAAATAGTCCGTTTTGCGAGAGTCTCACCACTCCGACAACACGATTCCCATCCTCGACAGCCCTAGTGCCATCTGGGAGCCGAATTTTCCGACAATCGGAAACTTCCGGATATTCCGATGCTAAGGACCTTCTGACTCCTGGGTAAGGCGATGACGCTGACTTCAAAAATCGATTCTAAAACAATTAAAAAGAATCCAGAGAGGCCAGAGGGGAAAGGCGTCCAACAGCGAGGACACTTTTATAAAAATATTTTGGTGGGCATAACGAGAGTGCTCCGCCAAAAGCATGGAGATTGGGGGACTTTCCGAAAATCGGGTGAACGTCCACTGGAGCCGTTTGCAGTTTAATAACTGAAACACCATGCTTCCAGCCAGCGTGAGCACGCGATACGTCTGAAATTCTGTGCATATTTTCTAAAATCGCTCACTTGCCCAAAATTACTAAAAAACTATTATAAACTGTATTCTCCCGAATAAAGCCATTTATAACATATTCCAGTGTTTCTGTGAAAATCCCTTTCACAGTCATAAACTGTATCAGAGCACAACGCTCACAGATTCGCTTCACGAGATCTCATCCGTCCGAGGCTGACCACCTCCGACGAAGACCCTGCTTCCGATTGCGCCGGCTCCGTTGAGACCCGTACTTCGGAACAACGGTGCATTCAGGCTCCGTTGAGACCTGCCATACCGTCCGAGCCTAACCACCCCCGACGAAGACCCTGACCGATAGCACCGGCTCCGTTGAGACCCTGCATCGCACAGCGGTACATACCTAGGCTCTGTCGAGACCTACGGGTACAGGCTCCGTTGAGCACTGTACACACTTCGGGGCAACCTCCCTCGGCCAAACCTCTATCGGGGTTACTCGTCGAGGCAGCACTTCCTCGTCAGATAAACCGCAATCTACGGAAACTCTCCCGAGTTCCGTAGCTTGCCGATATACATAGCTCTGGCTAA